ATAATAAAATAACTGCTGATGTAATATTTTCCCTATAATTGTTACAAAAACACAAAATAACTATAAATAAGTATTTATATTTATGTACAAGCTGTTTAGATTGTCAAAAAGCCTGTGTTTTTAGGGTTATTAATGAAGTTCGTGCACTCAAACCAGTAATATTTGGGGTCACAAGTTTTTTCCATGGATATTTTTTGGGTCAGAAGACAAAAAGTTTGGGAATCACTGTGCTAGATTAACTTTCATTCAAGTTAGCGTAAACCATTTTATTATTCATATCTTTTTACAGAAAGGAGGCCAGATGATTTCCAGCATTTTTGTTCAGCACTGAATGTCTCGTCTGTGTCTGACCTTACAGTACAGCCCTCATGTCTAATGATTGAAGGCGTTCAAACAAAAACAGATAACTCCATATTACAATAGAACCTTTTAGGTCATTGCCAAGCCAGTCCAGTTTTTTGTTGACAATAACCTTCATAATTCAGGTGAATTTATTAAGTGTCATGTCATCAGCCTTTTCCATGGCCTTCCTCTATGCTTTCCTAAATTGTCATTATTCTTGTGGACCTTCATGTCTGCCAAGTTAAAATCAGAGTCACTAAGTTTTGATCAGAGTCCAAAGGTTTAGATCTTATTGTTGGTCTCTTTGTGTTCTTCATCACCGTCTTGTTCCTTCCTCTTCTGTAGAATCAAACTGTCAGATAGATGGCAAAACTTTACTGTCATAGCAACAACTTTAACCACATTAAAAATTAAGCAAAATTTCAAAGCAAAATGCCAGCAGTCATGCTTTTATTTTGAAAGTTTGATTTAACTTTGTAACAGTTTATATCCATTAGTCATTAAGTCTAATATAAAACTAAAGGACACAATTTTACAGAAATAAAAGAAGCTATCAAGAGCTCTATGATCACATATTTTACACCAGAATGTTTCACAATGCTGTTGCAAATTATTTACTAGAAGCATTCTCAAAACTGCCCCTGATACTAAATTATAAACAAAAACTCTCCTTTAACACTGAATTCAATTGTAACCGTGTTTATCCAAGTTTTTAAACAAAAACAATAGTAGCCAAACATCCGATTACAGAGGGGAAAAAAATACCGATGCACAACATCCTTTTTGGGGACATTTTATAAAAAACAAACAATAAAACATCCAGCAACTCATCCTTCAAGGAATGCTAGTTACCTCCACCACAAAGGTGATTACGAGTTCCAGTGTTTGAATATTTATTGGTTCTGTACGCGTTACTGCGAGTCACCCTGGAGTTTTGGCGTACGTTCGCTCTTTCAAAGTCCTTCTAGTTTTCTGTATCTGTGTCTGAGCTCTGTTCTTCTGTTTCTTCTGCTTGAAACAAGCTATCTGCTTTGTTTCTCTTCGGCCTTCCTTTCGGTTTACCTGTGCTCCTCTTAGTTCTGCGTGGCTGCGTTTCTTCCAGCTGCGCTTCATCGTCTGTATCCTGTTCTGATTTTACAAGACTAGAGTCTGGATCTTTATCCCAAAAATCTTGATAATCCTCATCGTCATGTTTCCTTTTGTTTGTCGTCCTCTGTTCGATTTCAGAGCCAGGTGTGTGGTAACGCTTGATGTGACTCTTCAAGCTCACATTGTGATTGAAGCCTTGGAAACAGTGGTGACACCTATACGGCCTCTCTCCTGTGTGCAGGCGCATGTGGGACTTCAGATTCCCGGCCTGGTTAAAGCCACGTTCGCACACCACACACTTGTAAGGCTTTTCACCTGTGTGTACAACTATGTGCCTCCGAAGATGATCCATTCGACTAACCTCCAACCCACAGAAGTGACATTTTAAATCCTCTGGCCCCCTGTGTACCTTTAGGTGGATCATACGCTTATTATAGGTTTCAAATGTCTCCGAGCAGTTGAGACATTTAAACGGCTTCTCTTCAGTCAGATGTTTATGCTCGTGAACAGATTTGTCTGCCTTATTTTTGAACTTCATGTAGCAGCATTTGCATGAAATCTCATAGCTTGCATCGTGTACTCTTGTGTGATATGTTAAAGACAACTCATTGATGAACCTCTTCCCACAAGTATTGCATGAAAAGGGTTTGATTATATGTTCGCATGTGTGGGGCCTTCCCTTTCTACAAAATTTCCCACAGTCTGTGCAGAGCTCCATGTGACTGGAAGGAATTTCCTCGTCGTCATCATCAAAGACKTCATCATCAGACTCGGTCGGGAGCTTTTCATTAAAAAAAACCTCRTCCTCTGGGTTCCATTCTTCACCTGAATCCACCTCATCGGGTTCACCGGAGACATCTGATAAGTCYATTTGATCATTCTCTTCTCCAACTAAATAAACAACTTCGGGGACGCTGTCCGATGCCTTCTGTRAAATCAAGCAAGGTTAGATTTTAGTGTTTCAACATAAGATTCTGCTGGCTGCATGTAACCCATGTTACCTGAGTTTGACCTCCGACACGGACCACCCATTACTGCTGCACCCTATTTAAGTTCCGGGGCAGCCAGTGTAACTACTTCCTGCTTCGTGCTGCTGCTCACTGTGGCTGWGCTCTGGGGCTGTTTGATGTTTGCTAAACAACCTCTGCAACTTCTACAACAATTTAATGTGGAACCATTCCATCATCTACTCGTCGGCGAGTTGCCTCATTGTTTTAGAACACCATTTTAGTGGATTATTGCTGCACAAACTGCAGAAACGATCGCAGTGTTTGTTATACAATACTCCATAGAGCAAACGGCTAATTTAGTTAGCACTATATACAGGTCAGTATGAGTTCTCCTATCGTTACTGATTTAATACTTAAATAAATTGACGTGATAAGTAAGCCGAATAAAAGGCCATTCCTTTAATAATTAAAGGACATATTTGGTTTATTGTGTTTGAACCATGTTATGGTATTTTGTGTTATTTTTGACCAACTGCTTAGGCGGCAATGGTAGTTTTGTACTGATCCTGGTTGAATTTGTAGCTACACATTTTGAACCTGTTGCGCAAATATTTAAATTAAATGTGAATGTTTGATAAATTACTAGCTTTAAAGTTAACTGGTTTTGAGTAAACAATTTGGAACTGTACTTTATTTGAATAATGACTGAAGTCAAATATTGTGAAGTATGATTTATGCTATGATAAATAACATTATTTATTGTATACCTTTTCCTCTTTGGTAATGATTACAAATCATTGAAGCTCAAGACAGTTCATTTAATTGAACCTGTATCTAATTTATGTTTTTGACCTTGTAAGTCAGGTGTTTTTTGTTACCCCTCCCGACCACCTCCTTCAATTGATGGCGAGCTAACTACGAACCACAATGTTGTAGGAAATCGGCCCTTCTATTTTGCATGTGTTCTGGTCCCAATCATACGGGCATAAAAAGGACTCTTCTTTTCTATATTTCGGACATTCTGGAACCATTTTCTTCTACAATATTGAACTCTAAACCATATGAACTGTGAATTATGGACTTGAATTTCTGAACTTGTTAGAGTTGGTGTTTGTATTTGTATGTTACATGTGTTTTTTTTTTCTATTTATTTCTTTCCCATAATGTTATTTATACATTTATGTTAACGTTTTTTCCCCTCCTTTTTAAATATTCAATACAAGTCGTCTAAACATAACGCTGGTTGATTCAGTCATTCATACACTTCACGACTGTCGATCCTACATCTGATAAAGTAACTTCTATTATTTATGAAGTAGTGGTCAGTCCCGCTCTAGCCCTAGCATGTTACATGCAGCTAAAGATCACATACATCACAACAGAGTGTTTGCTTAAAGTTTTAAGATAACAACTTGTGTAAAATGTAAAGCCAAATAGGGAAAACACACCTCTACAGTAGTTTCCATCTGATGTGTATCATCAGCTGCTGGGATGTTCTTACTCTCCAGATTTTTCCAGTCCTTACTGTAGCCACACTCTGGGCAACTCAGCTTCAGGGTTAAGACAACGCCGCTCACAACCTTCTCCATATTGACTTTTGACTGACAGGTGGGGCACTGGCTACTGAACAACWGGAGGAGCTGCTTTTCATCCACAATATACCTCTTTTTCACCTGGGGAAGGTCAGCTCTGGGGAAAAAAATAATAAATTACACTGAATACTTTTACAGACTGTATGATTGTGCAATAAAGAGTGTAATTGTTTAGTCTTGATTCCATTTTCCAGAGAGCGTAAAAAAAACTTACTTTTTCCTAATCAAGTCAGGGTTTTCAATGTTTTGCAGGATGTTATTTTCAGAGACAGAACAATCAGAAGCTTCGCTTGGTGCAGGATTTACTGGAATGCCTGAAAAATACAGCTTATATTAGTAACATAAAAAAACAAGAATTTAATGAAAGTCTGAGACTTTTTTAAAATTTGAAGTTTCCTACTTATATTTAAAGTTCCGTCATTATCAGATGTGGGACTGTGGCATATGATAAGACGATCCCGTTCCAAAGTAGCATTGAAGTTTCTCATGGCCTCCTGTAAAAAGTTATAAAACACAAATGTTAAACAACTTTTGCAATAATTAAGGGAAATTTAAATTCAGTTTTAGTGAGTTGTGTATTCTATAACAATAACCTTCACATTAAAAAATGTCAAGAAACAAAAAGAAAACCTCACATCACATTTTAAATAACTAATTGTCAGTACAGATTAAAAGCATTAAACAAACTAAGTTTGATGCAGAAGTAGTTTGGGGGAGGGGAGAGCACTACAGGAACAGGAAGTCAAGAGTTTTGTGTTTATGTTACAAACTGCAGTCCTAGTTTTATTATTATTATTATTATTTTACTATCCATGTTCCATTGAGGTCAGTTTCTCCATTAATAAAAGTTGGTTGGACCAACGAACACAATTTACACACGCAGTAAAATAWATTACATTTTATGCTGTCCTATTATAAGTCAGTTTGGTATGTGTATATTTTTATTATACCAGCCATTAATGAATTGTACTGATTATTAGTAATATTTACAGACATTAAAAATGTAATTTCGAGGGGTTTTCTCACCTGCTGAGCCTGGTTTCGTTTTGCACCGGCTTGCTTCAARTTTTTCTTTGATACTTTTTTCACACTGGATGAAACAAACAGCGTGGGTATGGCATCTGCTCTTAACGCTCGTCTTCGTCTGTAGATGAGCCCCATCTCTGTCATCATCCCTCGTGCGAAATCAGACGTTTCTTGCTTGAAGCAGTCTGCGGGGAAGTGCTCGGAGCACAAAACGCTGTGCTTGGTGGGCCCATCCCATCCGTCTCTGGTCAGCTTCACCGCTGTGGTCCAGGCGGCTCTCATCTCCGTATTCACCGGGAAATGGTGCAAACTTACGTCTGTTGTTGCGGTGTTGCTGCAGCCACCGGCGACGCACCTTTTCACCATTTTTACGGAGTTTACTAGGACCTAAACATTCGTTTGTTGGTTTGACGTTTCCCGATTTTTCAAAGCGGAAGACAGACCAGGAAGCGCCCCCTTTCTCGTCACTTCCGGTTGCACTTAGGTCGCGCGAAGTGTTTAAGACGGAAACATGCTTGCCACGTGACAAAATGGGTTCCCATTACGTCTTTATCCTAAAATCATGGCACAATTCTTCAATATTAAGATGTTTTCTTCTATATGTCTGTATTTATTTATTGGGAACGTACGTCACAGACACTTAGCTTAGTTCTGAGAATTTAATAACTCACGTTGGAGCTCAAATTTCATCAGCGTCCTTTTCTTTGAAAAACACTTGGCACCAGGCTTTGCCATAAGATTTGACCTCTGAAAAATTAGTTTTATTAAATGTCTATTCTATTTTGCAAACAAAATGAACAATTAAAAGAATATCCTCCAATAGTGATTCCTTATTATGTATTTATTTATTTATTACCAGAGATTGTACATGTTCCTGTAAATAAATATGCTAGATCAGTGTTTCCCAAAGTTGGGGTCGGGACCCAAAGTGGGGTCCCGAAACATCAAGGTGGGGTCCTGAAAAGATTTTCTGAATTATATTTTTGCCCTAGTTGTTACAAAGGAGTGAGGNGGAGCGAGTGCAGAGGCTCTAACAAGATATTTCTGCTTGGTAATATGTCTACCAGTCATTATCTTATACACATCAATGTTGGGATACTTTTTGTTAATGAATCTATAAACCTAGACCTTAAGGCTATGTTTTGCAATGATCATCTAATCATCCACAATTTTAATATATATTTTGCAATATAAACATAGTGATGATGCTAACAAAACAATGAGTCTCATGCAAGAACTGTTCATACGAACAGATTTGTTCTTAAGTTGTGCGTACGAGCGCTTTAGGAGAACTTGTGGTATTCACCAATTTTCTCGTATTCTAATTTTTTTTTTCCAGATACGAACAAATTTCACRTGTGGTTGAATCAGACCTGTCATATATTTTAYGTGCAGTCAGTCTGCTGACATCCAKACAGATTTTGTTCACTAATAACTTTATATATCATTAGTTTGAAGATATTTTGAGTTAAAAAAAATAAATCACACTCCATAATTATGTAGACAAGAGGCTACTCTGTTTGAATTAGAATTTTAAATGTAATAATGTAGACTAGCAAAATAAATCGATAAAATTAAATTAAATTGGCTAATAATGCTGTTGTGTAACACTACGTTTAATTTGTCTCTGTATATAATGGGGTCATTGGGAATTGAACATAATCAACAGCTTTATTCGGACATAGATTAGGTTTTTTCATGAATGGACACTTCCTGGTGTGTGGGGCAGGAAGCGTAGCCTTATATGGTATAATTGGGGCGGCACTTATGCTAATTTCCTCTCCTTGTGCACTGACATTTACGCTGCTCATTTACACACTTTTCCTGAAGATAGATGCGTTTGCTGAATCTGACGCGGCATGTTCGTACCAAAAAAACGTAAGAGAATTTTGGGATAAAAATAAGAATTATTCTTTCATGAGGCCCAATGTGAGTTGTAGTCCAGCTTACCTGTGCAAGCGCCAACGATGTCAGCGGGCTCCTGAGAGTTGGAATTGCATCTTCTTTTAGAGACAATCTTCCTATTAGTCCACTATCAAATTGGCTTTTGTTTAGAAAGCAGTCATCAGTGAAGTGCCTCCCACAAATATACACATTTTTTTTCGTCGGAGGGCCGTTCCCAAACATGAAGTCCAACCATTTTAGACGAACCTCGTCATCCTTAGGAATCGTAAAAAGAGGGTAGTCTCTGTCGCATCCAAAAATACATCTCCGCGATGAAGGCATTTTTTTTAATCCAAAAAATGGCTGGACTGGGAAGAAGTATTACAAGAKCGGCAAAAGTGCCTTTCCACCAGGTGTCTGCTTATTATTATTATTATTATTTATACTATATATATTATATATATATTTACTTATATTATTATTGTTGCTGCAACAAGTGGTTGAGCTTTTTGGGGGGAGGGGTAATCAGTGGGGCGGGAGCACGGCTGGTGTCTGAGCTCCAGGGAGGAGCTTTGTGTAAATAGAAAACCGCCAGAGTTGATTGAAGGATTTTCTCAAACGAGCCTAAGCAACACTCTGGGTTTGTGTATGCTGAGGGAATGACATAACACGTTTCAGCTAAAAAATAATAATAAAAAAAAAATCGAATATCCACCCCCTTTAAATAGCTCTCAGTAAAGTTAGCACGATAACTCGCCTGGTAGCTCGCATTTCCTCAGGGTCCACTTTGACAAAAATAAAAATATATTTAAAAAAAAAGTGCTGGGATGACACCGGGCTTTGGTTGCACCGCCTATGTCTAAAAATAAATAAATAAATAAATCCAATGTGAAATGTTTACCGCAGATAAAACAACGACATGATCGGATCCAGAACGACACACACACACACTGGCACTGCTCCTCAACCTCTGCTTGTTGACCCGGAGGGCCAACTCCACCCTCTTCCCCGGGTGGCATCAGATAAAGACGCCCGATAACTCTTGTATTTAAGTCTGCTGCAGCAGACCTGCGAAGTCCGAGGCAGAGATACTGGCGAAAATAGAGCACAGCTAGCTACCTAGCTTGTTGATGCTACAACACAATGGTGACGCCGGAAGAGGCGGGGCTTCAAGTCAGGGTTGGCGTGGTTTGAGCACGGGAGTACACCGGTGTAATAAGCCCCATTGTGCTCTACATGCACTCTAGCAAAATTGTCCAAATTTTACCCAGACTTGATCCCAAAAAGCAATTGAGAGTAACTACAACAATTATATTTCATTGTTTTATTGTTTCTTAATGCCAAAAGGTTGAAACTTTGAAAAATTAAAGTTGGCATGTTGACATTTACCTTTTATACACTRTTAATTAATAGAAAGAAAATAATTCAATAGTGGTGATTCCATAGTTTTTACTAGGGTCTGTACAATTATTATTTATATCTTTTTTACCAGATGACCAGATGTTTTCCTGCAGATATTTTCAGCACTGCATATCTAGTCTGACCTCACATCTTGACTTTCAAATAATAATAAAATAAAAATAAAAAACAGACAACTTTTTAGGATATTTTGAACAATAATCAAGCCAGTCCAGTTATGTTTTCAGTATTTTTGCTAATAATAACCTTCATTAATCAGATGGATTTATTTAGTGTCAAGTCATCAGGTTTCTCCTGGGTCTTCCTCTACGCTTTCCTGAACTGCGACTTTTATTCTGCCTGCTGCAGACCTTCATGTCTGCAGAGTTAAAATCAGAGTCGCTGTCCAAAGGTTTTGACCTTTTTTTTCTCTTCATGTTTTTTATCCCCTTCTTGTTCCTCGTTTCTTCCTCTTCTGCAGAATCAAAGCTTGTGTTACTGTCAGACGGCATAATTTTACTGTCTTCGTTAGTAAACCGTGTCGTCTTCTGCTTTTTTACATGTGCTTTGCTGGTCCCAGTGTCTGACTCATGGCCCTCTTTTTCATCTTGAATGTTTTTAGATTCAAAGTTTTTAGGTCTTCCTTTCAATCTGCCAGTGCTCTTCTTTTTAGTTTTTGGCAGACACAGTTCTTCCATCTGTACACCATCCTCTGTATCCTGTTCTCCTTCTTTACTGTCAAAGTCTTCGCCTGTCTCATTTCCATTAGCTGGAGCATCACCGCTGTCGCATTCCTGTACACCTGTCTGCTTGGGTTCGGGTCCCGCGCCGGGTGTGTGCCAACGCTGGACGTGATTCTTCAAGCTCACGTTGTGATTGAAGCATTCGTCACAGTGCTGACACTTGTAAGGTTTCTCCCCTGTATGCAGGCGCGTGTGGCTCTTCAGATGTCCCAACTGGCTGAAAGCACGCTGGCAAAACACACACTCGTAGGGCTTTTCTCCCATGTGCACCGCCAAGTGTCTCTGGAGAAACGCACGCGAAACAAATTCAATCCCACAGAACTTGCATTTTGTCCGCTTTGGCCCTCTGTGAACTTCCAGGTGGATTTTGCGTTCCTTATTTGTGACAAACGTCTCTAAACAGTCTGAACATTTGTAAAGTTTCCCCTCGGCTACATGGATCTGCTCGTGGCTGAGGTGGTCCGCCTGTACTTTAAATGCAACGTGGCATAATTTGCAGACGAACTCGTAGTTTTCATTGTGGGTCCTGCCGTGACGACTCAGGGCCATCTGACTGGAGTACCGTTTCCCGCAGATGCTGCAGGAATACGGCTTCACTTTGTGTTTACACATGTGGCGCTTTCGTCTATCGAAAAACATTCCACAGTCCGTGCAGAGCTGGTCGCTCTGAGAAGCGACGGGAAGGCAGTCGGCACCTTCGCTGGGTTCCTTGTTTTGTTTCGAAGGAAACAGTTTTACAGTGAAAGCACCCGGGCCTGGCTCCCAGTCTTCATCAGAGTCCATGTCGCCGTGATCGACGGAATCCTCCAGTACGTCTTCAAGGTCGCTCTCCTCTTCCTTTACCTTTACATTTACAGTGGCAGGTTCAGGAACCTCTGAGACGCTGCTGGGGGTTTCATCTGCCTGTGATACAAGAATGCGTATGTTTTTAAATTTTAATATTGTTCAAGACAGTTTTAGAAAATAATTCAGGCATTTCCTTTAATGAAAGGCAAACATTCTGTATGAATAGGGAAAACATCTGAAGTTAATTTCACATAAAAGTCTGAACAGACTGTATAATAAGAACAATGGGCCTCATGCAAGAACCGTTCGTACGCACAGATTTGTTCTTAAATTGTGCGTACGAGTGATTTAGGAGAATTTGTGGCATTYACCAATGTTTTCGTATTCTACGATTTTTTTCAGATRYGAACAAAATTYACGAGTGGTCCAGACCTGTCGTATATTTTACGAGCAGTCAGTCTGCTGACATCCAGACAGATTTTGTTCACTAATAACTTACGGTGCGGGTACGGTGCGCAACGGTGTGGCTTCTGAATAAATGAAAATGATTTAACACAGTTGTTTATACTTTTAGCAGCTCTTTTTATTCCACAGCTGAGCTGCTAAAAATGACAGATTTTCTTTTCTGGATCTCTGACAGACGGACTTCAATCTCTGAACTCGTAAAGTTCTTCTTTTTAGTTTTCGCTGTCATTTTCATGAATGGACACTTCCTGATATCYGAGGCAGGAAACACAGCCTTATATGGTGTTTTTGGGGTGGTAATTATGCTAATCTCCTCTCGCGTGCACGTGCAGCTGGATAGAACAGGTGGAATTTACGCAGCTCATTTACGCACGTTTCCTGAAGATAGAAGAGTTTGTTGAATCTGACGTGACATGTTCGTACGAACCCTTTGTACGAACAAAAGTAAGAGAAATGTAGGATAAGAATATGAACATGTCCTTGCATGAGGCCCAGTGTCTTAAAAGGCAACAAAAAACACAACCCAAATATTTTGTTAATGCATTTCATCACACAGCTTTTTGAATTATGATGTCGTACCTTTGATCCTCCCGTCTCGTGCCCATCTTTAGTTGCTGGGACATTGTCGTCCACCAGACTTTTCCACTCGTACGTGTAGTTACACTGAAGGCACAGCTGGTGCAGGTTGATGAGAACACCACGGCTGGCTTTGTGCATCTTCAGTTTCCCTCCACACGATGGACAAAAGCGGCTGAACAACCGGACTAGGCGTTTCTCATTCACAGGAAACTTTCCTTTTGTCTTCAAAAGGGCCTCTCTACAAAAAAAAAAAAACACCTTACAATCAGTTTAAATGTTTTTCCATTACTTGTCAACACGTAGGTTAAGAAGCTTACTTTTTCCTGAGCAAATCGTCATCTACTGTTTTTGGTTTCGCCTGGAAACAAACAGAAGAGGCTGCGGCACATGAAGCTCCTGCTGACACTGGAACATTTTGAGATCCTGCAAAATAAATTGGACATAAGTATGTGCGAGGAAACGTCCCTGCCGTGCTTGATTTTTCAAGAACATGTTTATTTGTACCCGGCAATGTGAGCTCTGATTCTTCGGGATGGGAAGTTGCACCATTCTGTGTTTCGGCTTGATCACTCGGACCAACAACTCCAGCTTTAACTACAGATCTCTGCACACAGAAGCAAAAGGAAGAGGATTCAATAATCAAATCCAAAATCTAGGAATAACACTTATCTTATTTGCTAATTCATCTACTTAACATCTCACCTTGTCAATACATGTTTAAAAAAACCTGAAGAATGTAATACTATAACAATAAATGAGTTGATAGAGTGAATTGTCCACAAATATGCAGAAAAACTTAGTCACATTAGTATGAAAACAACACATTAAATATCATGTTATGATAGTATTTAAATAGCAAAAGGAGTCTTATTTTTCCCCAAACATGGAGGAAGTTTAATGATGTTGCTGCTCCACCGACATAAGAAAAGCTTCTTACAAGTTTAGACTCAGAAATGATTTAAATTATAACAGTGCTCATTCAGTTTGTATCACAATTAATTTATACGTAGTAACTCTATGCAAAAATGTAAAGATTTTCCTATTTGTGAGGCTAATTTCATAATAATAATAATAATAATAATAATAACAATAACAATAATAATAATAATAATAATAATAATAATACATTCCTCTCACAATAGTGACACAGTTCTTGCACCTGTCCCAAAACTATAAGCCCACCTTCACAAAATATTCTTATTGATTCAATAACAAAACAGACCGTCCCAAACCTTTGAAAACCACGTGCTGCTGCACTGTTTTCATTGTGAACCCCTCACCTTACACCCGGAGCTCCTCACAGGTTCGTCTGGTCCACTTTTCAAACACACTGATGGAACCGAACCGGGCTTCAGCTGGACCGGGTGAGCCTCGTCAACAAAGCAGTCTCCGGTAAAGTGGTCACTGCAAACAGCGATATCGGTCCAGGAGGACTCTTTAAACCGCTGCTTGTTGGTTTTCGCTAAAAACATGACCCACTCCAGCCTCTCCTCTGGGTCCTCGGGTAACTTGAATCGTTCCGCATTTAGTAGTCCCGAATAACACCCGTAGACGGAGCACATCCTCCTGGTATGCACCCGAGGAGCTAACTTAGCTAGCTGATTTAAATCCTCGTGCAGGTGGGATGGGCGGAGTTTAAACGAGCGGGTTCGAATCGTACAGACATTTACATGTGCATAGTACACATACAAGTAAAAAAAAAATTTAAAAGTACATAAAAATGTACACGTAGAGTCGAATGTTTTGTTGTCTAGAGTACACTATTGTTGTATCGATCTGTTTCCCTTCTCTTCTGAACCTTGTTTACTTTGGGTGATCCGGCTTCAAGGTGCAGCAGCGCCACCTACTGGACTGGAATGTTGTGCCCMACTTCCGGATTAAGTACCATAAAACGCAATTTGCTTCTAGTAGAAAAGAATACATGAGAATAAATTTGCAATTTAGCCTATTTTATATACATTAGTGTTATAAATGTTTTGTATTTTTTTTGAGGAGGGAGACCAATTATTTAGCATCAGCTATGTTTAATAAACTCCTATCTGATGATAAAAGTGCACACATCAGTGAACAGACACTCAAAAGTCAAAGTATTTACTTCTCTCCTTATTAACAGGCAACAACAAATTCTCATTTATGCTTCACGTTTTTATTGGTATAATTAATCCATTAATCCATCCATCCATCCATCCATCCATCCATCCATCCATCCATCCATCCATCCATTTTCTGTACACGCTTATTCCTTTCAGGGTCGTGTGGATCACTGGTGCCCATATCCAGCAGTCACAGTGTGAGCTGCGGGGTACACCCTGGACAGGTCGCAAGTCCATCACATTAATAAATTAATATTTGAAGAAAAAAACCCACATTACAGTACATTTCAATTTAATACAGATTTTTTTGTAATGAACTTCATTTTTAAGTTGTCCTCAGTTTAATTCCTCCTCTAAGTTTTGCCTATTGTTCTTTTTTTTCAGATCACATTATATTCTGTATGTTTTTTCCTCAGCCTTCGTCTTCAGAATCAAATGATGTGTTGCCGTCAGACAGCCTGTCCTCGTCAGTAATTTTTTGTCGTTTTCGTCTCCTGACTTGGGATTTTCTAGCTCCAGTATGTGACCCTTCTGCTTGAGTTTTCATTCCTGATCCAAAGCCTTTGGGCCTCCCTTTAGGTCTACCAATGTTCCTTTTAGTTTGTGGTCGTGCCTCCATCTCATCATCTGTATCCTGTTCCTTCTCCTCGCTGTCGAGGTTCACGTCTGCGTCTTCCTCGAGCCTGTTATTCTGAGCACCACCACTTTTCTTTTTGCTCTTTGTCCCTTTCGTCTGTTCCGGTGTGGAGCAGGAAGGGTGGTGGCGCTGAACGTGACTCTTCAAGCTCACGTTGTGATTGAAGCTTTTGTCGCAGAGCTGACACTTGTACGGTCTCTCCCCCGTGTGCAGCCGCATGTGGGACTTCAGGTGACTTGCCTGGTTGAAGCTGCGCTGGCACACCAAGCATTTGTACGGTTTCACCCCCGTGTGCACTAACAAATGCCTCTGAATAGAGAGAGGACGGTCGAATTCAACCCCGCAGAAGCGGCACTTTAAATCCACCGCGCCCCTGTGATCCTCCAGGTGGACTCTGCGCTCCTTATTGGTGGCGAATGTCTTCGAGCAGTCCGGACATTTGTACGGTCTCCCCTCGGGTCCGTGCGTCTGCTCGTGGGTGACCTTGTCCGCCTTCAGCTTGAACGTGGCGTGGCAGAACTTGCAGCGAAACTCGTGGCTTTCGTTGTGGACCCTGCCGTGGGAACTCAGGGCCGCTTCGCTGACGCAGCGCTTCCCGCAGATGTAGCAGGAGTACGGCCTGGCTTTGTGCTCGCAGACGTGAGGCTTCCGTCCGTCGACGAACCTTCCGCAGTCGGCGCAGAGCTGGCTGTGCACGGGAGTGAGCGAGAGGTAATCGCGGTATTCGACGTGTTTGCCGGATTCCTCTGTGGGGTTCGCGGGGTACAGTTTTATGGGGAAAACGTGCGGCGCCGATTTCCACTCTTCGTCGGAATCCACCTCGCCGGGATCGCTGGATTGCTCCCATTCAGCTCCAGAGCCGCTCCCCTCGTGCGCCACTGCGACAATTTCAGGAACCTCTAGGATGCTGCTGGGGGCTTCATCTCCTGTTGCTACCTGTAATACAAGAACAGGTTTAGCTTTGAAAAGGAGTTATTTAATGATAAAGCACTATTTATGCCGTATAATGCAATAATTGYTCCACATGATTTATTGTATAGAAGTCTGGGGAAATGCATGTAAAACAATTACTAATCCTATTTTTATTTTACAAAAAAGAGCCATGAGAATTATTACAAGAAAACATTACTATCACCCTTCTAATATATTGTTTCATCAATTAAAATTATTAAAATTTTATGAGTTGGTTGATTTTAATATTTTACAGGTGTAAAGC